GGAGGAGCGACGGCTACAATGGGTCCTCCCGCGGGCTTTGTGCGAGCTTGGAATCCAGCTGTCACCGCCCCACTTGAGGGCGCACATTTCCGGGCTGCCCACCGGCCGGGTCGCTTCGGTAGCCGCTGCCCCGAGAGCCAAGAGAGCCGCCCCCACCCGCTCCGCGGCCGCCCGGCCCCAATCGCCTCCTGAAATGCCCGTCGACTTCACCGGGTGCTGGAAGATGCTGGCCAACGAGAATTTCGAGGAGTACTTGCGCGCGCTCGGTAAGCCACTGCTCGCGGAGCTCAGCCCGGGGCGCCCGCCAGTCCCCCGAGGCGCTCCTCCCCGGAGCCTGCGCGGAAGGACGGCCACCGGCCTGGCCCGGGGTGGCCAGCAGGCTTGAACTGGGGGGTGGGGGTGGTCAGGGTTCATTAGTGGTAAATATCTGAGAGTTGGCTCTAAAAGTTGGCTCTAGACGTGGATGATTTCACTAGGAACGCTGGGCTTGGTTTCCTAGTTGTTGTTTTTTAAGGGGTAGCAGAAGGGCGGAAAACTTTGTTGCAAAGAACAAAATAAAGAAAAAGGCGCAAATTGATTGCGCACAGCGTGCAAGCGAGAGGGAACTCCGGCTGTTCTCCCGGAGAGCGGGCTCCCGGGCCACTCTCCCTTAGGAGCAGTTCTCTGAGCTTTCCGGCCCACTCTCTGCCCCTCTCTGCCCGGCCCCCTGCAGATGTCAATGTGGCCTTGCGCAAAATCGCCAACTTGCTGAAGCCAGACAAAGAGATCGTGCAGGACGGCGACCATATGATCATCCGCACGCTGAGCACTTTTAGAAACTACATCATGGACTTCCAGGTTGGGAAGGAGTTTGAGGAGGATCTGACGGGCATAGATGACCGCAAGTGCATGGTGAGGATCTCCTGCCCAGGGGTGGGGCTGACCAAGGCCTGGGCTCATTCATTTGAGAGGGGAGCAAGGGGCCTTGTATTCTTAGGGACCAGGGATCTTGGCCTGGTGCCCCAAGTAGGCAGCACCCCTCATCCAGCATCCTCCTCCGTGCAAACCAGATGGTTATAGTTCTAAAAATTTCAGCTGCTTTCGTTTCTTCTGTGTCCCGACATGTGCTTTATACACTTGACTCCGCCTAATCCAACAACCTTTGAGGGAGGTATGAGTACACCCATTTAACAGATGAGAAAACTGTCTCAAAGAGATGAAGTAACATGCCTGGAGCAGCACGGTGAGGGAGGGGTGGGCTGGAATTCCAGGCATGTCTGTCGACTGTTCTCTGGCTGCTCTCTGGGTGGTGGAGGAAGGAGAGAGAGCAGGAAGGGAGGAAATAAAGAAGAAACACAGGAAACGCTCTTGAAGTGTAAACTTCCCATGTGACCGAGCATGAAGCCACTCTAGGAAGCAGGGGCCACCGTGATCCCTGCCAGAAGCCTTCTGACCTGCCCCTTTCTGTCCCCAAACTGGGATTTGGCTCCTGACCGTCCATCCCCGTCCCCACCTGTCTTCCGCTCTGCACTGCAGAGCTTCCTTTGAACCTTACAGCCAACACCTACTGGAAAGGTCAGCTCCTCTGCAGCTCCAGCCAGAGGCTGCAGCAATGGGGGGAGGAGCTGGAGACCCGCCCCCAAGGGTGGAAAGCTGGTGACCGGGAGACCCCAATTAGTGCTGCCACAGCCAACTCCGGAAGGGCAGCCCCAGGCCTCCATCAACATATCTGGTCACTGGGAGGTCAGGGTACTCGGGTCTCCCTTTCACAGTCTTGGGCCTAGAGCTGGTTTCTGCTTATCGATGAGGCCCTCCCTCTTGTCCTCCCCGCCCCCTTCCGTTATTACAGGGGTCTGCTGTTTGCCCTGCACTGCGCACAGCCCAGGGAGGGAGGGGTTAGTCCCCCATATTATGCAATAGCAGGCTCCCAGGAGAAGGGACTGGCGAGAGATAGGATCTGAACCCTAGGTCTTTGGACTTTGAAGCCCACGCTCCGGCTCTCGGTCAGGTTCCTCTCTGCTGGTAGCCGGTGCAGAAACCAGACGGCTGAGACGCCTTAGGACAGGGGTTGAGGAGTGCTGGTGTCGGACTGAGGAGCCCCAGGCCTGGAGGACTCGTCCTCTGTTGTTGATTCATCTGAAGGCAGTCAGGAGTGAGTGTGAGCCTGCTGTTCGGCATGATAGCGGAAGAGGGGGTGGCCGCCCTGGAGTGTCCTTGGAGAGGCCAGTAGTGGGAGAAAACACTATTGTGTCTGTAAACCCAAGGCCTCTCATCTGCCCAGAGGCTCTGTGGGAAAGGTCTGCCATGGTGAGGTGGGGGCCCTGCCCTGCCTTTCAGACCTCTGCCCATGATCCGCCCCCTGGCCCGCTGCGTGGAATTGCACTGTAAGAACAGTCGTCCCCAGCTCACTCCTGGGGAACCAACAAAGCACAAAAAACATCTGTTTATTTGGGGTCACCCACAACCTCTGGAATGTGTTGGCTTGAACCTGGCTAATTATCTTTGCTCTTTTATTTCCTCCATTAATGCGGAAGACATTCATTGATCACCCAGGAATACTAGGTAGTACTCAAGGGCTTACTATGTACCTGGTACTGTTCACATTTTATTTTAATTCGGTCTTCACAACATTTTACAGATAAGAAGACCGAGGCAGGGCTTGCTGTGTGGTCTCTGGGAAGCAAAGTAAATGGCAGAGGGAGGATTTGAATTTGGTCCATCAGCACCAGAGTGCCGGCCCTTAACCATTGCACTGTACCCCCCCGCTTTCCTGACATGCTAGCAGTCACTGCTCCAGGGGCCGGGACACAGCCCAGCGCGCACAACCCCTGAAGTGCGGGAACTCATAGCCTTTGTGGCGGAGACACACAGTCCACACACGGTGAGATCAGTGGTGACAAAGGGAAGCACGCAGAGGAGGGATCCAGAGGAGCTCTGGAGAGGGGCTCTTCTGTACTTGATTATAAAAGACGAGGAGGAAGGGGGGGTTTTGGACACAAGGGAGGGACACATGGCTACCTTCTTTTCTTCACCCAGCAGTAAGACAGTGGTAGGTGAGCAGATCAGGGAGCCCAGCGGCTGGGCAAACCGGATGACGTCGGGCAGGATTCATGGTCCCTTCTGCTGTTCCAGGACTCCCTAGATGGCCACTCTGTACTTTGCTGTTGCCCTTTGTGGAGGGAAGGCCCCTCTGCCCTTGGCCCCCACCTCGCCTTTCTCTCCTGACTGCCCAGCTGGATGGTGGGCCGCAGTGAAGAGCGTGCCGTGGGAGGGTTAGGACGGAATTCCAGGAACTGCCAGCCTGAGGCTTGTGAATGGAGGGGAGCGGCATGCCAAGATGCCATGCTGGCAGCGGTCTCTGGGCCCTCAGGGGCCTGAGCAAGGTGGTGGCCGCTTCTGCTCCACACGCTCTGCACCCACCAGCCAGCCCAGCAGTTGGGAGGAAGCCAGTTTGTTCTCAGCATCAGGCGGCTTCATTCTAATGTGTTCTTCCCAGCACTTTACAAAGGTGTCATTTCTCACCTGGGATCATTCATTCAGGTGTGTTCATTGCTCTCTCGGTCCTACAAGTATTTCGAGGTGCTGGCTCTGTCTTTGCAGCCCTTTGTTACTGAGATGAATCATATGAGAGTCCTGCCCTCACGGAGTTTGGGGTAGTGGGGGAGACAGGCCACAGCAGCCAGTCATACTGTGATGTGTGCCATGGAGGGAGGAGAGGCAGAGAGGGAGCTCCTCCTGGCTCTGGGGGGTCAGGAGAAGCTCCCAAGGAAGTGGAGTCTAAGCTGTGGCTTGAAGGACAGACAGGAAGTCGCCAGGCAAATAGGAAGAGGGTGAGAAGAAGGCCAAGGCCAAGAGAGCCGCACTTGATAAGTGCGATTTCGGACCTATCCCACACCAGGCCCTGGACTCAGTGTGGGGTCACGGAGGTAGCACGGCCCCCTGGAGCCCCCAGGCCAGTGGAGGAGACAGATGCATCTTCAGGCCGTTGCAGCCCAGTGTTGTGATGGAAGCACAGTGGGCTGAGGAGCATAGAACTGGGGTTTGGGGGACAGTGGTCATGGAAGGCTCCCTGGAGGAGGTCACAACGGAGTGAGGCCTTGAAGGACAAGTAAGAATTAGGGCTGACTTGGAGAAAGGATAAGCATTCCAGGCAGAGGGAACCATATGCACAAAGGCCCAGAGGTCAGAAAAGGCCTGGTTGGGAGGAGGTTTCAGGTGAGAGAGGTGCAGTCTGGAAGACTTCAGTGTGGCTGGCATGCAAAATGTGGCCAAAGGAGAGGAGAGTGATGAGGACTTAAGGAGCCCACAGCCTCAGGGAGCCCATTGCTGGGAGAGAGTGGTCAGCCTGCTGGGAGAGGAGTCGTAAGCCTGCTGGAGAGGTGTGGTCAGGCTGCTGGGAGAGGTGTGGTCAGGCTGCTGGGAGAGGTGTGGTCAGGCTGCTAGGAGAGGTGTAGTCAGCCTGCTGGGAGAGGAGTCCTAAGCCTGCTGGAGAGGTATGGTCAGGCTGCTGGGAGAGGAGTGGTCAGCCTGCTGGAGAGGTATGGTCAGGCTGCTGGGAGAGGCGTGGTCAGGCTGCTGGGAGAGGTGTGGTCAGCCTGCTGGGAGAGGCGTGGTCAGCCTGCTGGAAGAGGCGTGGTCAGCCTGCTGGGAGAGGTCAGGCTGACATTCCTCTCAGAGGTTTCCTGACCCTGCCTCTCTTCCATGGGAACAAGATAAGTTTCCTAGCCAGAGGGTGAAATCTGGCCTGCAGATATGTTTTGTTTGGCCTGTGCAATGTTTGAAAAATTTCAAAGCCAGTTGCCAATTATTGCCAAAGATTGTAATATTTCATAGAAAAAAAATCCATATGTCTAGCTGTTCTTACCAAAAAAAAAAAAAAAAATCAAGATGCTAAAAACACTGGGTGCCTGATTCTGTCTGTGCCATGTGGCTCCCCGAGACACTGTCACAGCTGCCCCCTGAGATGGAAGAGTCTCCGGTTTACGAAGTCCGCTCGCCCCACCCTGTCCCCTGAACTGAAGGATCAGTGGCCCATCCTCATCGCTGTGCCTTGGGTTCCTGAGCAGCTCGCTAAGCAATTGCTCCCTAAGGCAAGCCAGCAGCAGCAGCAGCAGCACCTCAAGAACGTTAGAAACAGGTTCTCCGGCCATGCCCCTGGCCTGTGAATCACAAACTGCAATCCGGGTTTCATGGTGCCCACCAGGAGATTCTGATGCAACTAAAGCTTTTGATCCGCTGCTTTGGAGTAAAGAAGCATCTCTGTGCCTGCGGCTCTCTAAACCAGGTGTAGAGAGCCATGTGCCGCTGGCCGACTTCGTCCATCATCTGAACCCTGTAGATGTTGCCATCCATGCCCAGAATCACAGACATGGCTATGGTCTCTCCCCAGGCTGAGGCATGCAGGGGTTCAGATCCATGTAGCCAGAGTCACTCACAACGTTTTCAGTCTGTTCTCTTCAGCTCTGACCCGCCCCACAAGCAGCAGAGGCTGTCATTTTGGTGGAAATGTTCAGACGACACCCAGGTTTTCTCCCCTGCCTCCTGCACGCCATTATCCATCTAGATGACATCTCCAGCCCAGTTTGAAACCATTATCATTTATTGAACTATTATCATTTATTGAATCGAGCAGTTGTAGGCTGTGGCAGGGTGGGGGACCTTAAAAAAGGGAGGTGCTCCTCAACTTCAAATAGTGTCCCCCACTCTGGGGCCAGGGAATCCCTGGGAATGAGGAATGACGGGGTTCTTTGTTCCCAGCTCCCCCAGCACCAGCAGCTGATTCCCAGGAACCACAGCCAGCCTGCTCTGCGTGGTGGTGGCAGAAGGGCCATTTGTCATCCCACCGTGGACACCGGGTCAGGTTTTCCCTGGAGGGGGTGGCTTTGTTCACGCAGGAGCCTGGCGCCTGTTCC